CTACTTACTGGTTGACTGACAGTTAAAAGTGATGAGCACTATTCATTCATGCAGATATAAATGAAGTAGTGTTCTATATATATATGTGGTATATTTTATTTTTGTTCTCTATGATTAATTGTAAAATGACGGAAGGAAGAGTATTGACAGCAAGCAAACGACTAACCGATTGAAATTTTTAGTCGGTAGTGCAAACAGTTCAAGTTGCTACATATACTGAGAAAGTATAAGTGTAATGGTTATTACACTGGATAAACACAGGTTTTGAGGTAGAGAGAGAGGGGGTAGAGAATGTGGATTAGTGGATATTTTCAGAAGCTGGAGATTTGTAAGCAGTGTGAATACAATAGGTCTCAACTCTTCTTACAATGACTACCTAAACACTCTGCTCCATCTGTCAAGGAACGACTGAAGATTTACACTTATGATCAAAAATAATATAGTTCTTGCATGTCTTCTATTTTCTGTTCATAGGCTTTTGAGAATACATCTTTAGGGATATGATGTAATTCTACATTGATTGTATAGTTAAGTGAGATTTGCGGTTGAACGGATTCACCGTAAAGGAATGAAAATGTATCCATGATCTTTTTCCACACACACACAGAGTAACGAATACAATCTGATTTACTTCCCTGTCGGGAGTGGTGAGTGAATAAAGACATCAAGATGGTGGTTTAGGTACTAGTGTTTATAAATAATCAATACATTCCCTTAGATAGATAGATTTCGGTCCATCACATCATATTATCAGTTAAGGCAGGTTCAAGGAAATGCTTATGTAGCTGTGGTAAGAAGTTCATCAAATCACAAAAACCAAGTGAAAGGAATACAACACCGAAAAAAACACATTAAAAAATCAACAGTAATGCTGTTACACAAAAACTAAAAGGTAATCTCCACGCAACTGTAAAGCAAGTTAAAGTGACATCAGAAATTTGTACTTAGATATTGCTTTGCAGTTTGAAACGATAGGGTAAAGGGTTCTAGTCTTCCTGGGTTTGTAGGTATATACAGCTGACAAGTCCCAGATAGGGACGCAGTGCGCGCGCATTCTTGACTCCACTGCTAGTCACCATCAGCAAATAAAATAACTTCATTGTTGGTTTTCTACTTTTCTTTGTCTAGTATATCTATCACACACAATGTCTGTTATACTCAGTTGGTCATATTGTAATGGTAGAAGATGAGGCACTTGGTAAAGGAATGTTTATTCTCAATGTGGTATCTCTTTTGCATAGATCTTCCATGTTGTCCTACTTCTGGCCTTCCTTCATATTATTGATATAAGAATAGAACTTTGGCACTGCGGTAGAGTATAATTCCGTTATAGGTAAAATTCATTTTGATAAAGTCCCACAGTTTGATTGGACACTAGTAACTAGTATGATGTATCCACTCCTTTGGTACAGACTGAATTCCATCAGTCAGGTTTGCAATGTGGCCACCATTCTAGGTAGCTCGCCATCATGGTGTGCATTAATTTGATGATATTAGATGGTTGGAGGCAATCGGCAGAAAGCCTTGGACCTAGGTTTCATGCTAGTTGGCACTCACAAGTCAGTTAGGATTATCTGCAACCTTGAAGGAACTCGTGTCCCTTCTGAGATTTGAACCCGCGTCACCCAGTGCTGCAGTCAGAGACGTTCCCACTGAGCTATTTGGGCTCGTGATTGATCTCCTGTAGGACCTCACAGTGTTATACGGTGATATTTACTGATGACGTTTCGAACACAATTTATTGCTCATAATCATACCAAGGTGTTTCTTTGTGTTCCTTTCACGTCTCCCATGTATCTCCGAAAGGCTATACCATTCGCCTTCTCTGACATCAAAAGTATCTCCTTGATATTTGATGCTTTTAATCCCGATGAACGTCTCTCTATATACTACTGATAAATCTTATCAGTAGCACACGTCACAATATGTATATATAGGGATTTCAGAGTTTTAATTGTAAACGCATAGAACTGTTCAGTCAATTTTTCTATTAACTTGTTAGTAATCGTCCAACTGTATGCCTTTGTATGTTCTCATTTTTTTAAGGTTTTTAATTATTTTCTTTTTGTTGATGACCAACAGTGTTCAGTTGAATTGTATAATCATCTTTTGGCAATGTTTAAAGTCATGAATTCATCTGATATGATGTCATTAAGTATTATTTCTGCTCTCTCCTTTTATATGTTAATATTTATATGATGACCTAGTGTTCTAATAGTTTTAATGAATGACAATTGAAACTATGGTGTTCTGATAATATAAGCTGACCATATTTTGATGTCTTTTTCTTGTGTGTGTGTGTGTGTTCTATCGTACTTTTTTTCTAAATGTTTGTTTTTGTTTGTGACGTAATTGCATTCTCCAGTTACTTTTTTACGCGTTGATTTATGTTTACAAAGCACTAGAAATCAAACGTCAATCACCGTTTCTTTTATTTCTAATTTTCAAGTTTGTTTTGTGACCTCTGTTTTCTTTCACCCGTTCACTGAAACAGAACGCGTGTAGTGTTATTTTCTTAATCTCTAAAGTCTTAATTGTATGCAGGAGTACAAGGGGGGTTCTCACTTGTGTTATTGTTATCGTTTAAGTGCAGGTGGTCGGGCTTAAACACCGCAATGACCCAACAAGCTATACTGGCTGAGACTTATGTCGCTTGATGTCCTACCATGCCAGAAAGGTTGTTTAGATGGCGGTTAGACAAAAAGCAGTTGCCCAATCCAATGCTATGACTCAAACAAAATCACAAAATATCATGCCGGATCGGTCGGGGCCCGGATTAACAACGACCACGCTTCCTGCTGCTGTGTCACAGGGCAGAAGTGATAAATACGCTACTGAGACACACCAAATGAATAAGAACAAACAAAAACAGGCCGCGTGTGACCGGCCTCAAGCAGTTGTCCCCTGGGCTCTGCGGTCACGTAACCAACTTCCACGGTGTGGGCAGCCGGGAAATAACAATCGCCCTCACAGTCCGAAATGCACACGAAACCTCTCTAATCCTCGCTGATCTATCGTGTAAGTAACAGGTTTCTAGTGTGCTGTTCCTGTCTTTTGCGTTCCGAGTAGCACATAGGATTTCAAGCCTGAGTTTTGAAGTTCCAGTAACAGTGTTTTTTTTTATGCGGTGACATTGCTAGCCTCATGCCCAACCTTCTCTCCTTAACGGGTTTATTACCACTGGCCAAGTTGACGTATAGGAGTGCGTCGGCGGCGAAACGAACCCTAGTCCATGTGAGTGGTTGGTAAGCATTCTACCACTGGACGTATCCTTATATTCTCACGTGTAGATGTCTCATATCACTAGGATCTCGTATTTCTTGACATTGTCATTGACTTTTAATCAACGAACAGGTACGCTGTTTAAATTGGTACTCTGATCAGAACTTACATCACTGATAATGTGCGCTGAAAAATTGCAATGTGTTTGCAAGTTCACATCATTTATGATGTTGGTATTTTGATGACTTTTCATCACCAATTATTTATTGTTCTATACTGTATCATTGAGAAATTATGGTCAATTTATCTGTAAAACACAAAATTTGTTCCGAGTATATATTGAATTTATTGAGTACTTACAATACATGCATTGTAACGGTGGAAGACGAAAGACTTGGCAAAGGAATGTTTTTTTGGAAATTCGTATCTCTATATAGCCTGGCTGGCTGGCTGGATTCAACATAGAACTTGGCACCGAAGTGCAGCAGTTCCAGTCGCCACGTTCCAAATAGCACACAAAAGTAGACAAGAAGATGAGTGAAGAGAATCAGTAGAGTTTTGACAAGTATAAGAGTGAGACAGAGTGACTAATGGTAGAAAGGAATTGAAAGATTACAGAGACTGAATACATCTGTGCCATTGACAACGATTTTGAGGCATGTCACCTATTGTTTCCAGTCATTGATTCTTAGAGTCCCGAGGGCCCCAACCCGGAAGTCTGCATCTCCCTACTTGACTCAGTTTTATTGTTAAGGATTTCATGGATTGATGCCCTGTTTTTGTTTGGCCACCACTTACTCTTTTCCAACCTGCACCTATATCAGCTAGTAATGCCCATCGGGGGAGGCGATGGTTAGGCACGCGCACACGTGACCTAGCCATCTCAATCTATGTAAATTTATAGCCTCGTGGATTGATTTTCCGTCTTTGCCCAACACTCTACGCCTAACGTCAATATTACTTAACTTATTATACCACATAACGTGAGAAAGAGATCGTAAACATCTATGATCAAAAACAGACAATCTCTTCATGTCTTCCGCTCTCAATGGCCACGTCTCACCGCCATAGAGAATGACGGAGCGAACTGCTGAGCAGTACACACGTCCCTTGGTTGATAGCCGGATGTCACGCCTACGCCAGAGACAGTGTAAGTTAGCGAATCTCTATATAGCCAAATTATGTGTACACCTTATCTCCAAATCATCACTTGCACAGATCTTCCGTGGTGTGCTACTTTTGACCTTCTTTCATACCATGTTTCTTTGTGTTCCTCTCACGTCTCCCATGTATCTCCGAAAGGCTGTACCATTTGCATTCTGCGACATCAAAAGTATCTCCTTGTTAACTGATGTTTCTAATCCCGATGAATGTCTCTGTACATACTACTGATAAATCTTATCAGTAGCACTTGCCAAAGCCTGGTTATTGATACCTATAATAAAACATAAATAACAGCTTGGCGAAAATAGTTTAATAAAGAGGTATTCGAAATCATATTGCATGTTTTCCTGATGCATTCATTCAGTTATCACTTATCGGGCCTGGAAAGTAGAGAGAGTGGGTTTTTTTGGTAAACACAGTACAGGTAGGTGAACAACGTTATGATAGTAGTTAATCTATGAGATGCAGTATTTCTTTGCCCTGTAATTTGATATTACCTGTTGATAGAGAAGTCAGTTGTGTAGGCAATCTCGAAAAAATGGTTTAACACACATTGATGTAATCACATTTTTAAATCCTTCTATTTATTTATTTAATTCTCTTCTTTCTCATAGGTCGATTTAGTTTCTGGTCACAACCTCAATCACACAGTGCAAATACAATGGTGGAATTTATTGAAAAGGCAGTTGCTCATTCAGTTAACGGTCAATTCCATTATTTCCTTCAAAGTAGCGCCCAGGGTCAACCACCTGTTGAAGTACCCTTATTATATCCCCTTTCCCGATTTCAAGTAAGCTTGAAATTTCTTTACTTTTGAGATTATTTTTTTAAAGTTATGTTATTCTTCTATTTTTTTCTCCAACTTAATCATATTAGGTGATATGCAGCATAGTATGTGGCTAGTTGCAATGCTAATGTCTTTATTTAGCTCTATATAGTGTAGACTGTAGTATTTATTTACACTGTACTGTACGGTACTCTATCATCAATGATGAAAGGGTTACCGAATTTTGACTGGTTATATATGTATATATATATTCGTCATGTTTTATGTAACACAAGCGCATTATTTGATTTGATTATATGTGAAGACGTGGCTCACTACTAGCCTAAGCACTCATATTTCAATCAATGGGTGTCCCGGTGTCGAATCCTGCTTCATCAAGTTCAGCCTGAACACCTGGATAGCAGTATCATTCACCCTCACACGATATAGAGAGCGTTGAGCAGCATCAGGAGCTACGTTCCCATGGTTGCCAGCGTCCCAAACAGGTTCACACGACATTTGAAGTCCATGTACATCATAGGTTCGGAATCAGGGTTTTTCCAGCTTCCCTAGGTAAGCCTGCATATCAACCAGTCTGGTTATAGGTGATAGACGTTCTCATACACCCTTCCACCTTTGTGAGGTATGCGTTCACAATGTAGCCACTTGAGAGCATTCGAAGAGTAAGACCGTACCAAGTTGTTTATGGAAACAGATGTACAGATATGAAGTGTGACAATTTGAACCAAACACCTTAGTGAATTCCACATTGTGTTATTGTTAATGTCGTAACCAGGTTGAAATGAACGTTTATATTATCTATTTTTCGTGTGTGTATGCAAAGCAACATACAGCGTTCATAATCATTCATATCAACTTCAGACTTCTGTCACGGATAAACCATAATTTCAGACATGATCTCAGTTCACCTTTCTTCTACTTTTGTTTGTTTAAGTCTTCTGTTTATTTTCTTAACCTTTGTAAATTCCTCCTTTACTACATTGTAGGAATATAGAGAGTTTAATATAACCAGTACTGCTTATCAATATTCAATTATTCTTATAAGTTTCTTAAACCCTGCCGATTTATCCTATTGAAGTATGTGTATAATGAATGATAAATGGGGTTACACGTTATATCATCTTGTTCTTGTCTGATCATATAATATAACTTTATAAAACACAAAATAATTGAGCAAAGAATATCCTTTCCGATAAATTCCTCTTCTGGCTCTACAATTATATATATATATATATATATATATATATATATATATATATATATATATATATATAGCATATTCTAGACTAGTAGTCAATAACAATATTAGTGTTTTTTAAATAATATCGATTTGTAAAGTAAGATCAATGCAATTACAAGCCTAATTTGTGCATCCAAAAGAAGTTAGTTCAGACATTATCCTTACCTTGGCCATCTAGGTTTGAATGATCCTGAATTTTTGTGGAATTTTCCTAATTTTAGTTTATATTCTATTCGCTACTATATCTTTATCATTATTATAATTTAACCATCTTTAATGAACTGTAATTCCATTGATCATACTTTACAAATCGATATTATTTCAAAAACACCAATTTTGTTAATGGTGTTAATAGAATAGCGCCACGAATAGATTTTGTTTGTCCTTTAATTAGCCAGGCAGGGTGATGTTCGGAAATTCGACGAGAAATACACGCCTAATTGTACGGCCTATGTAACTGGCTCACTCCACAGGAACAGTTAAATTGGTATATACACATGGAAGAGGCGAAATTAGGCAGTTTATCTTTTACTCCCAAACGCGAAACAGGGGGTGGTTTTGAAGACACCGCTTAATTCGACAGCAGGGAATGCTCATTTTACCGCATTTCTAAGGCGCTGTGTTAGTATCTCGCTGATGTTGCCCCCAAGGAACTGCATTTGTAAGAATAAGTCCTTTTTAGGAATTGTTGGTACCTTGGGCTGCTTTGATTTTAGATTCATATTCTTATCAATGGTTACTTTACAAATTGATATTATTTAAAAAACACTAATATCGTTATTGACTACTAATCTAGAATATTCTATGTATATAAACACATGTACAATTGTAGAGCCAGAAGAGGAATTTATCGAAAAGGATATTCTTTACTCAATTATTTTGTGTTTTATAGATGTCTGAATGAATATTTTTGCTATAATATAACTGTGTAACTGCCGTATTGTGTGTAACACAAGTTATATATATATATGTTGTGTGGAGACGTGGCTCACTGACTTGGTCACTTAGCTTTCAGTCAAAGGATCCTGGGTTCGAATCCCACTTCACTTATCTCAGCCTAGACAATTGGGTAGTAGTATTCATTAGCTCTTCTCACACGATATGTATGGCTGACTGGAAGCATTGAATAATAACTCGTTGCAGGAACTGAGATAAAAAAATACGCCCTTGATGTTATAGCGAGTAGATTATTTCTCTCTTACTTGTCTGTCATTCACCTTCCATCTTTACTTTTTATGAGAGATGACTTTGTTGTGAATTTAAAAAAAAATATGTATATAATTAGTTAGTTCGTTCGTTAGTTATCACATTTCATGTCTCTGTGTTTGTAAATATACACGCTAATTCTGTAGTTGAAATCCATCCCCCTCTTCTTTTCATCCACATGATATTATGATACTTCTATTTATAAGAAAGATATGTATGAGTGTAAAATGCCTTTTTGTATATTCATTTACCGACATTCTTTGGCATGTTATCTGGAAGTTTTGTCGTTTTTTTGAAATTTTATTGGCATTTGCATACGCCTACCTACTTCTACTTCTACTACTACTATTGATGGTAATGTTGTATGACGTGTTCAACGAACCTGTCTTATCATGGTACCTTACTTTGTGTGTCGCTAAACCTTAGAGATATAGTGTGTGTGTTTGTGTATGTGTTTCCGTGCTCATACTGAGGATTCTTTTCACGTATAATATAAATTGGCGCGTTATTTTTATAGGATTTTATATTTGGGCATTAATTCTCTATGTGTGTGTACATATACGATTGTATGTATTCAAATGAACTGTCGTCAAGATTTGACAGAATAGTTCCAAAATATTTGGGCACCGAGTGAGAAGTAGACATTTGTAAAAAATTATATTTGTAAAATCTCAGCGAGATTGAAATGAGTAATTCCAACGTTTCGTTCAGCAATCTGGTCCGAACTTCTTCAGGGAAATTAATCGAAATTAACATAACAGAGTATAGGTTTCCAGGCCGTAGGTGTTACGAACTTCCTGGAATAATTTGAGCGCCAAGTCATATATAAATCTGCTGAAGAAGCTGTGGCTTACACAGCGAAACGTTCAGAAAAATCTTGTTTTGATTTTCTTAACACGCTGGGGTTAATTTAAATAACTTATAATGTAACATAACAGAGGTTTATATATAAAAGGAACATCACTTGTTTTTAAAAACTTTGTCCAATCATGCGTCATTCAACAAGTATAATAAACAAAATTTTATGAGCTGTGATCAAAATTTGACCCCGGACTTACAAATATTGGTCTACCTTTGTTAAACACTTTAAACAGAGTGTGTATGTGTGTGTGGGTAAACAGTTGTAAAAAATTTCTTAACGTTTCCATAAGAAGATATGGACAGTCTAGAATTTTGACCAAGTATTAATAATTAGTGATACATATCCATTTTTTATTTATTAATAAGGATTTCCTATGCATCAGCTAACATCACGCCTTCATGTCTGTTCAAACTGTTAGTATCTAGAATTTTATGATTAAACGTATTTTCAAAATTATGGTGTTTCCCTGAAGAAGTTCGGACCAGATTGCCGAACGAAACGTTGGAATTACTCATTTCAATCTCGCTGAGATTTTACAAATATAATTTTTTACGATTGTATGTACTTTATGCGTCTAATCCATTGCTAACCTCATCAAAGGACATTGATTTGATGAAAGTCCTGAACACACACACAAACGTGTACTGATGCTCATCGGACATGTCATCATCATCATTTAAACATGTTGATGTTTTGTGTATTTTGGGGTTTTTTTTTTCTGGTTTTTGTTGTTGGTTTTTTTTCCACATTTATAATTGATTACCTGTTTAAGTATGTTTGATATACATATATACATTTATATACACATATATAAAAGTACCATATTATGAATTTTTATAGCTTCGATTATATATGCACACATACGCACAATACGCATATTGGCACAGAATGTATTTCGTTTGGCAAACATCAGAATGACAAATACTTTTTTATTTATTAATGCCATGTGATCAATAAATTTTTGTATAATTTGTACGCACACATATGCTTGTGTAATTTTCTCCATGTTAGCGTGTTAGTGTGCGAGTGGGAGTGCGAGTGTTTACACATGACTATCTCTGTGTCTTTTACGCATACACATTCACGCTAAGGTATGCAGCAGATATAATTCTCAATTGTGAATATATTTGTGTGTTGAATAATATGTGATCGCTCCTTATATTATATTTACTATACACATAGATATATTATTGTATGCGATTATGCGATTAGTAACAACAGTTGTTATAATAATACGCCTAATCATAATAGTCATAATAACGATCGTTATTGGTTTTGTTGTTGTTATTGCTTGTACTAGTTATTATATATTTAGCAAACATTTCACCCTGCGAAAAAAAATAACAACAGCAACAACAACAAATAATTAAACAATTAAAAAAGAACTAAAACAATAGTCTGTCTCTATATCTTCAGAAATAGAAAGAGCTAAGAAAAAATGATAGTGCATCATAACTTGTGCGTGTTTTCGTCTCTGTGTTTGCTTGTTTCTGTGCGTGTGCGTTAGTGTTTCGTTATTTTTTGAAGATATTTGATGCCTTTTTCTCGTATAACAAATATACTGTAAGTGTATGTATATATATGTGTATCTACATATTGTGTGACTCATCGCTAAATTTTTCTAGTTTTGTTCAATTCTCTAAACTACAATACAATACAATATTACCTTGACAAAGACATCTTGTTGTTATCGTT